CCCGCATTTCTACATATGCGGGCTTAGACACATAGAAACTGGGTCCTTACATAATTTATATCCATTCTATTTTATTTTGCCAATGTTTTTATACCTTAACACTTTTGGCATAATTTTGTAAGATGTGTAAATATAATCAAACAGTAGTATTTGTAATTTTCATTAAATATTTATTTAAGTTTTTTTTTTTTATATATATATATTTCTAAGTATCTTAAGATTAAAAAAGGCAACCCATCATTAGAAATAATGGAAGGCAGGGATCCTTCTCTAAAGGTAAACATCTATATTAGTACCTATACGTGATCTCCCTTACTCTTATAGAGTCGATCTAGAAAGGAGTTACGTTGAGAATATGTTTTCCATCAAAATCATATCTTTATATTCGTACCTTTAATATCCTCCAACTATATTCCCTAACTATTGTTATTTTTATCATTTTATGTGATATGTACATATATATGCATTTGTAGAGTATTTGCATTAATATATATATATATATATATATATATATATAATTTATTTCTCTACACCAAACTTATTGCTATCACAAAAAAAAACAGGTATTCTTGGCCATTTCTTGATTCTTAATAAACATATTCATCTGTTGGCGAATGTATGGTGTGGTTTTTATTTTAATTACTTTCTATTACTTTGTGTGCATTTGTAGAAGGAAAAAGTTTATATAAGGTTGCAACCTTAAATGTAGAATTACAGTTGCACCTCAAAAATCCATCGAAAAAAGTTGTTTTAATGTTGAAAAACCCTCTAATCGATCATCCCGACAACGATATCTATGAATATAGAAAAAAAAAGATTTTGAGTCTAAAAAATAGTACATCTTATAACACATTATCTAGATCGTACATTATCAAGATTTTCATATGTTTATAGATGTACTTGATTTTAGAGTGAGTTTATATAGTAGAAAACTTGCCTTTGCTATGATATGCTAACAATCAATGAAAATAACCAAATCGAATCTAGTGTCGACAAAACATTAGCGCTAATTTCTACAAATCTACATTCATTTTAGGATTAGCACATATGTTTAGCAACATTATGCATCAAATTAAAAACACGAAAAAAATTTGATATAAAAAATATATATACGATTTATTAATTGCAAAGTAAATTGCTATTTGGAAACCACAAATAAAATAATTATACATAAACTTTTTTTATTTGAAAGTTTCTGAACCTCCGTTTCTTATTGCGACTATTATTTTATTTTATTTTTATTTTTTTGAAAAGAGCACATAATTTTATTAATTGAATGAAGCAATGCAAACTGTTGCAGAGGTAGAAAATTAAACCCTGCTAACTGTGAAGAATCGACCCCAGATTTAACCAAATAGTTTGTCACATCATTGCCCTCCATATAGATATGGCCAAGACTAACTCCTTAGATCGACATAAATCTATAATCTCCATACATATTCCCCTCAAGCTCCATGGAGGTTTGCCAACTTTATTGTGCGTGTTTATGACATTAAGAGAGTCGCCTTCCACAACTCAACAATGATCAACACATCTCCCTCTCATAAGCTTTAAGGCCCGGTAAAACCGCTAGCATCTCCCTCTCATAAGCTTAAGGCCCGGTAAAACCGCTAGCATTTATGCATTATTAGTTGTAAAAACACCACACAGAGAAACCAAACACCCTCAGTTATGAACAACACCACCTATCCCCATCTGTCTGTCCTAGATTCCCACAAGAGCTCCCATAAAATTTAAGTTTGATACAGGCCTTGCAATGGAGGAATCCCTATTACTTACGGAAGATTGATTGACCAAATCGTAAAGTTTCATAATAACTTCCACTTTAGTAACTCCTTCTCCTTCCTTGGTATTAGAATACCAAAACCAAAGATTTGTGAATGATATTGACTTTCACTCTGCAACGTCCTCAAAAGTACCATTGTTCCTTTCCAACCATACCTCCCAAAGCAAGATTCATTTAAAGATTTCCAAGATTATCTTACCTTTCTTAGGAAGCCAGATGATCAATAATGTTTGTGTGTCTAAGGGGCAAAGACAAGGAGAAACTCCCGGATTGAGAAGCCCACATTCATAAAAAGTTAGTGAAGGGACAATACATAAAGAGATGATCTCCAATCTCCTCATCACGCTTACAAAAAAAAATACAAACATTAACAATCAACTTACCCCTTTTCCTTAAATTGTCGGAACATTTACAGCTTTGCACCATTTCCAAATACACTTCAATTTAGATTGCCATCCACCTATAACGATCATTCTATCCTTTTGGGTAGGTAGTACAACATCAGAATCAGTAGGGTTGCCTTAGTTAATTCAAAAGATTGGCCGATTTTTAAAAAATCGGCCGACTAAATCGAGATTGGTCACCGGCTGATCCCAATTTGTCTCGCTTTTGATGGTCATGTATTCTGAATTTTTTTTAGTGCACTAATCAATCGATTTTTTAACGAATAAGTACAAATCGATCAAATGTGCACTGTTCTTATATGACTTTTGAACACTGCCATCTAGTATTGCAAAGATCGGTTTGAGCTCTATTATTACCCATTTTCTCTTCCCAATGTTGGGAAGAGACATTGTGAAGAATTTCCATGATTGAGATGGAGATTTTTGTGTTTTGTTGGGTTCTCATTCTCTCTCTCCTCTCTGTTGGGTTGGGGCAGATCCCTTCGCCCAACCTCTCTCTCTCTCAGGAATTGTTGGGGAGGGGAGTACCCCACTTATATCTCACCTCTCTCTCTCTCAAGAATTGTTGAGCAGGGGACTACCCCAACTATATCTCACCTCTCTCTCTCTCTCTCAGGAGTTGTTGGGGAGGGGAATACCCCACCTATATCTCACCTCTCTCTCTCTCAAGAATTGTTGAGCAGGGGAGTATATATCTCATCTCTCTCTCTCTCTCACACAAACAGGAGTTGTTGGGGAGGGGAGTACCCCACCTATATCTCACCTCTCTCTCTGTTGGGGTAGGTCCCTGCCCTAATGTTGCTCTCTCTCTCTCTCTCTCAGAATCTGTTGGGCAGGGGTCTGCCCAACCTCTATCTCACTCTCTCTCTCTCTCTCTTTGTTGGGATAGGTGCTTGCCCCAACGCTTCTCTCTGTAATTGTTGGGGTAGGCCTGCCCCAATGCTTCTCACTCTCTTTCTAGAACTGTTGGGCAGGAGACTACACAAGCTCTCTCTCTCACTTTTACCTCGTGCTTTCTTTCTCTCTCTAACTAATTGCCCCAACCTCTCTCCTCTCTCTCTCTTGGGGTAAGTCCCTACCCCAACATTCTCTCTCTCACCTCTCACTCACTCACTCTTTCTATCTCTCTCTAATGGTTGGGGCAAGGGATTGCGCCACCTCTCTCTCTCACCTGTCTCTCTCTTTGGGCAGGCCTACCCTCTCTCTCTCTAACTGTTGGAACAGCCTGCCCCAACGTCTCTCTGACTCTATTTTCTCTCTCTCCCTATAAACGAGTTAAAGTTTGATCGCCTAAAAAGCATGGCTTCACATGCCAATTTTTGTTCTCCAAAACCCAATTATGTCTATAATATTTTATTATTTTATTTTTTTATGTGACAATATATATAAATAATAAATGTAAATTTTTAATTTTTTTTTATAATTTTTTTTGGAAATTTTTAAGATTTATTTGGGATTTTTTACTGAAATTATATTGTTTTTCAAAAAAATGGGGCCACTGATCGGCCGATTTAGTTGGAATCAGTCCAACTAATTGGATCGGGTCAAGACAAACTAGTCGACCCGATCCGTTGTTTTGAACACTAGTTAGTACTTTGTCAATCAAGCCGATACTCAAATCTACCCAATGCTCAAATGCTATATCATTTTTAAAAAATTTATTTTGGAATCAAAGGAACAAAAAATTGATGCTTATATTTTTTATCAATTGATTGCTTCTAGTAAGTATAGTAAATCATAAAAAAAATAGATTAGTGACCTGGATCGACCATCCCAATAACCGAATTAGATTGACGGATCGATGATCTGGATCGGCAACTTTTGGTCTAAACAAATTTCAAACAAATCACAAAAATTTCTTAAAAATCTATTTATTTTATTCCCAAAAAAATAGTGGTATTGCGTTATGGTTTTTTTTTTTTATTTTATCGAAATTGGGTAAATATTGTCTTATCAATTTATGGGTGTTTGTTATTCATTACTCCATCACACAGTCGTTAATTGTTGGCCTTTTATTGAAGAAATACCTTATTTAATAAAAATAAAATTATAGTATATAAATAGTTCTTAGTGAATGGCCTTATTTTTTTTCTATTAATTTTGCTTTTGTTATTTTTCCTTTTTAATGTTTTTCCTGTTTTACAACTTGAATGTTGATGAGCAATGCCCATTATGTTTATATTTTATGATTGGATGAAGTTTATATAAAGCTTAGGTTTTATGAAAACAAAAGAAACCTCATCTCAAAGCAATTTCCATAAAACACTTTTGGCAGCAGAAATATTGATGATAGCTCTAAAACAGAAAATAAAATTTTAAATTAAAAAAATATTATAAATCTTGCATATATATTTACGGTTAATGTGAAATGGATGATCTAGATAATTTATTATAATATAGACTATTTTTAAAACTTCAAATCACAAAATTTTTCAAATATTCAAGCATCGATGTAATATTTCTCCATTGCATGAATTGAAATTTCGATGTAATATTAATTTTCAATGGGTTATTAAGTGAGGCTTTACTCTATGGGACAGGGCAGCAGCCCCCTGTAAAACTATTTTCCGATGACTTCCACTCCAAGAAAGAAAAGATGAATTAGTTTTATTTTATAATTGCCTACCACAACCAAATCTAAAATACCAAAATCGGTCACTTCAAATTTCCATGTTCCCATTCATATCTTTCGTTGTCATTTAGAATAAGGTTTAACCTTTCAAGGTCGTAGGCCTAAATTCGTCTAACCCAAACAACTATGTAAATGCCTTTTACACTCTCATCCAGTTTTCTCTCTCTATAAACAGAGAAGAAACCCTCGTTTTGCAGCAGCGAAAGCAAAAGTAGAGAGAGAGAGAGAGAGAGGCGAAAGTAGAGAGAGAAACCAGGGGGCAACCATGGGTCAAGGATCACCAGGGGGCATGAACAAGCAGGGATTACCGGGAGAGAGAAAACACGATGACAAGAAAGAGAAGAAGTTCGAACCAGCAGCTCCTCCTTCTCGAGTGGGGCGCAAACAACGCAAGCAAAAGGGCCCTGAAGCGGCAGCCCGATTGCCCACTGTGACGCCGTTAACGAAGTGTAAGCTTCGTCTCCTGAAACTCGAGAGAATAAAGGATTACCTTTTAATGGAGGAGGAATTTGTTAGTGGTCAAGAGAGGTTGAAACCTCAAGAGGACAAAAATGAAGAGGATAGATCGAAGGTTGATGATCTCAGAGGATCTCCCATGAGTGTTGGTAACCTCGAGGAGTTGATTGATGAGAACCACGCCATTGTTTCTTCATCGGTTGGGCCTGAGTATTATGTGGGGATACTTTCCTTTGTTGACAAGGATCAGCTTGAGCCTGGGTGTGCGATTCTTATGCATAACAAGGTGAGGTATTTTTTGGATTTGGGTTTTGATTTGCTGACTCTAGGGTTTGTTTGCAATGATTTTGTTGGGAATTAGGTTTTTGGGGTGAGTTTGATTGGTTTAGGATGTGGAGTTTAGGTTTTGGGAATTGGATTTGGGTTTTTAGGGTCTTGCAATATTGAATTAGACGTTGAGTTTGAACCGTTTTTTAATTGTGTTATCTATCTCTTTCATTTTTTGTTCTTATTTTCCTTATTATTGTTTTACGGCTTTATATGACTTTTTACCGAATTGGGCCCGGGATTGGTTGCAGATATGGTGATGGGGTTTTCAGTATGGATGTAGGGTCTGGGTGTTGGTTTTGCATGTTTGGATTTTGTCATGTGGATATTGATATGCTCACTTTCAACGAATTTATACATTATACTTTAGATTCCCTACTGTTTTTATTGCATTATTCTCTTTTGTTTATTAGTCTTGATTTTCAGAGTTTATATATACAATTGCCAGGGATTCAGGGTTAAGTCCCTAAGATGCATAGTCTGGTACACAAAATTCTCATACAGAGAAACAAAGGCATATTGAATCCAAGGTTAAAAGTAAGAAATAAGAAGGATATGGAAAGTTTGTACGAGATGTGTCCTTTATTATGTAGACTGAAAGAGGGATACTCTTGAGAGAAGAGAACTGCTATCTGAGACATAACCCAACTCTTTGCAGAACTACTATACCGTTCTGCGTCTCTCGACTGCTCCATTAGGAAAATGTGTGCGTTGCAAATATCTTCAATATTAACCAATGAAATAGAGCCCAACCTGGAATGCATTTCTTTTAATATAAGAAACAATTCAGTGTTGATGAAAGACAATGCACTGCTTTTATTCTGGTACTTCTTAACCTTGTGTTGAAGAAATTTTGGGTTGGGACTTCTTAAGAAATGGGAAGGCGAGTTTTAGTTTCTATTTTGCTTGGTTTTCTAAATTTGTGAGTGTTTTTTCTGGGGCTTTAGGGTTTGGGTTGCTTGAGGAACATGTATTCAGGGCCCTAGGCGGATGCAAATGGTTTCTGAGTGTGTTGGATTCGGGTTTATTTGAGCTTTTGTTTTGAGATTCGAGGAAATAGTCTAAATTTGGAATTTGGATGCCTGTTTCACAAAAGATATGATTTTTTGTGTTAGTTCTGGCCGGAGCTGCTATAGTTTAGGGAATATCGATTGGGAGTATCATGGCGAGCAGGTATTTATTCCAGAGGCACATTTTGTAAAATGTGTTCTCCATTTTTGGAGTATGGTTGTCCATCAACATGCAAATACATGTTTTGTGCCCTTTGTTAAACTCTAAGTTTGTTATGGACAATTAAAGGCCATGTAGATTAGAAATGCTCATTGCTCAAAGAGTGGAATTTTTGCTTCTAGGAAATAGACAACGCAACTGATTCTTTATTGATTTATAGTAAACAAAAGCATTATTTGGCTTTGAACTAATGACTCTCTTTTGTAGGTTCTATCTGTTGTCGGGCTTTTGCAAGATGAAGTTGATCCTATGGTGTCCGTCATGAAAGTGGAGAAGGCACCATTGGAATCGTATGCTGACATTGGGGGGTTAGATGCCCAGATACAAGAAATCAAAGAAGCGGTAGAACTACCTCTTACACATCCAGAATTGTACGAAGATATTGGTATCAAGCCTCCCAAAGGAGTCATACTGTATGGGGAGCCTGGAACTGGGAAGACACTACTTGCCAAGGTGCTTTATACTTTAACATTCTTTTTTCTTGTTGCTTTGACACTAAATTCTTTATGTGTTGGATCTCTGTTGGGCTCAGCTTAATTGAATTTTTCATATGAGTATTTGATTATATTATTATTATTATTTTGGGTAAATTGTTGGCTTTTGGTTGCTTTTGTAAGAGTTTTTCCTGCTTTACACCGTAAGTTGCATGTAGCTTCACTAGTATAGTGATGTAGTTTTTTTTTTCCCTGCCAATGGTTAATTCAATACTTAAACTGATGTTTCTTGTTGGCTTTTTGTTGGCTTTTGGTTGCTTTTGTAAGAGTTTTCCTGCTTTACACCGTAAGTTGCATGTAGCTTCACTAGTATAGTGATGTAGTTTTTTTTTCCCTGCCATATATGGTTAATTCAATACTTAAACTGATGTTTCTTGCTTTTGGGCTCTCTTGAGAATTTGTTTTTTGGTAAGATGCTATGTGGCTATGGCTTATTGAATTTATGATATTATGGATACTCTTCATCTACCATATTCTGCTTTCAGTACCCTCAAATTGGAGCGGTTCTGTCCTGTCCTTTTGTTAACTTTTGTCTTTTATTTATTTTGGCACTGATTGGGATGATAGATTTGTTAACAACATATCAGTTTTGTCTTATGATAGTCACCTAACTTATGCAGGATTGTGGGCCATTATGTGATTGCTTGTTTCTGTGTTACATTGTGAACATTGAATATTAGGTCAACGGTCTTTATGGCTATTATGTAATGTGATGTCAACGTTTGTACATATATATATTTATGTATATATTTGACTATGTACCTTTTCTGTCTACAGTGAAGTGAATATTATATTTCACTGGGGAACAGTACACAGTCATGGGATGCCTTCTCATTTTTTGTCACAGTGTTTGCTTACACTCACCTGGGTGGATAAAATAAAAATTTCTATTCCATGTTTGGTTTTAGCAAAGTTTATCTTTGCAGGCAGTGGCTAATTCAACATCAGCAACCTTCTTGAGGGTTGTTGGAAGTGAACTCATACAGAAGTACTTGGGAGATGGTCCAAAACTAGTAAGGGAGCTCTTTAGGGTTGCTGATGATCTTTCTCCATCAATCGTCTTTATTGATGAAATAGATGCTGTTGGTACTAAAAGGTATGTAGCCGAATGCTAGTTGAATGAATATAGGAAAGTATTCTAAAAACCATTTCAGTCCATATGGGCATCATTATGAACTGAACTGATGGATGCTGTTGGGGAGAGCGAGGGCCTCCCCATTTGGGTTCATGTCCTGTTCTGGTGGATCCTACTCTCCATCAGCATCCATCATATCATTTCATCAGACAGTGATGGTCTAACGAACTAGGGCTCTTCCATATCCAGAGGCCATATTATTAAAGTATGCTTGCCAAAAAACCATTGCATCAGAGTACTTATCACAGAAAATATGCAATCATGTTACTTAAATAAAATGCAATTTTGTTGTGTGTTGTTTAAAACTGGACTTCGTTGACAACTATTTATGCAGATATGATGCTCATTCGGGTGGTGAGCGTGAAATCCAAAGAACTATGCTAGAGCTACTAAACCAGTTGGATGGCTTTGATTCAAGAGGAGATGTTAAGGTTATTCTCGCTACAAACAGAATTGAGAGCCTTGATCCAGCTTTGCTTCGACCTGGGAGAATTGATAGAAAAATTGAATTTCCACTCCCTGATATAAAAACAAGGAGGCGAATTTTTCAGGTTAGTGTACATCATTTCTTACAAAATCCTGTGAGATCGAACTTGCTGGCTGTCAGAATTGTGCTCTTGTGGAAGAATTTCTTTGGTTTTGTGCTGGTTTTTCAAGTTAACACTATTTTGTGTGATAACTTCTAAATTATGTGCTAACTTTTAATTTCATATGGATAATAGATACACACATCAAGGATGACGTTAGCAGATGATGTCAACTTGGAGGAATTTGTAATGACCAAGGATGAATTTTCGGGGGCTGATATCAAGGCCATCTGTACTGAGGCTGGTCTGCTTGCCCTTAGGGAACGTCGTATGAAGGTGAGGTATCTGTCACATTGGGGAAATGCTAGGTTCTTTTGAAAAATGTTCTGATATCTTACATGGTTATGTGAATGAAGAAATATATTGATAGATGGTAGCTTAGACCAATTGATGGATAGATGAATTAGTATATGTTACCACATACCTGTAAGGGTTCATAGTATTATGCCTGCATATAAAATACTGCTATGTGATGCTTAAGATGTTTATTGTTACTTCTTTTATCATTTAATTAGAGCGTGTAATAATTTTTTGGTATTCAATGTTTTGATCTTAAATGGGACATTTACCCCAAGAAAACCTGGGTGGGGCTTTGCTGATCATGATATTTGTCTCAAACGTCATTTCGTCCTATAATCTTGCTTGAGTAAAACCCTAGGGTGCCATGTATTTTTTTTATTTCCCACCTTGAAAGTCAGTTAAGTTGTTCCCTACAAATATTTTTTATGTGCTTCTCTTGACAGTTTTAGAAAGAGGGAGAGACGATTGAGCTGGGAAATTGGAATTGTTGATATGAGGGGATATCTTTTGGCTTTTGACTTCTACATTTTGGCAAATCTCTTGACTAAAAACGTCATCACTTGTGATTGGCCCAGTGTTTCAAAAAGCGCTAGGCGGTCGGGGAGGTCTCGGCTTGCCCCCTAGGTAGGTGCCCAGAACCTGGGCGGCCAGTAGAAAGAAAAATGTATGTAGTATAAGTGTTTAAGTCTAACAGTATAACTATATAGCACATAATCCATAATCCATAATCCATATTTCTATGAATGAGGAGAATTTGGATAGTCCATAATCCATATTTTCATACAATGCTAGAACCATACAAGGATACACACAAGAGTTAGATTGTAGAAACTAAAAATTAAAAAATAAGAAAAAGAAAATATATAGTCTAAGACTCAATAGTCAACACCAAGAGTCAAATGTCTTCATTCTTCAATCATCATCATTGTCGTCATCATCATCATCGTCATCAGGAGTAGGGTAAGCCTCATCATATGCATCAGACTCGAGGCCATCATCATCAGAGTCATCTCCCTCTTCAACATAACGTTCGTCCTCTTCTGTTTCTTTTGAATTTGCCTTTTTTTCTTCTTCTTCTACCTCCCTCTTACTCTGTGCAGATGAGGCCCTAGGAGCCTTGGTTGCTCTTCTTGGTGCCTCTTAACCCTTTTCTTTCTTTTTGTGCTTCCTTGAACTCAAATATTGTATAATCTCCTCTTTGGTAGCCTCATGAACAATTTTTACAGGGCAACATCCCCCTTAATAGCGGCAAGGCATTTCTTGAACCGGTAAGCCCCCATTAGTATCCTTTGCACAATAATTACACCGAATACGATTTTTGTCATTCACATCCAGGTTATGACCATACTTCAAACCCGAATCACCACTTCTAGAAGAACCTGGAGAAGATATTTCCACAGAACAAGGCTCACTTTCTGGTTCTACTAAATTCAATGATTGTCTAATCTCATCCCGAATGGCTTCAAGAACCTTTTTACAAGAGGCAACATTCCCTTTAATATCAACAAGGTGTTTCTTGAATCGGTTAATACCCCCATGAGTATCTTTTTGACAAAAATTACGCCTTATACAATTTTTATCATTTGGTTTCGGGTTATAACCATACTTCCAACCCGGATCACCTCTTCTAGCAGAACCAGAAATAGACCTATTCAAATGACAAGGATTTTGTTCTTGTTTGTTTTATTGAACTCATATATTGGTTAATCTCCTCTCTGATAGCTTCAAGAACATTTTCAGAAGGGGCAATAGCCCCCCTAATGCCGGCAAGATGTTTCTTAAACCGGTTCATGTCCCATTTTGTATCCTTTTCACAATAATTGCATCTTATGCAATTTTTATCCATAAGATTCGGGTTATATCCATATTTCCAACCTAGATCACCATTTCGACTAGATCCCGAAGAAGACATCTCAAAATAATACATGCAATCTAAAAAATAAAATTTTGCACTTTGATTGCTTGATCTCCAAACGTTCACCTCTGAGATGTTTTCTAGTGCTAATATCTCCAAAAAACACCATCTAATAGGCTTAAAAAAACTCCAAAACTAAATTTAATATTAATGGGTGATGTTTGGATCCATTTCTTGTAACGTCGAGAAACTCTTCAATCTAATGAAAATCATAAAATCTAGTTTTTTGAGAGGTTTGTCTCTCTCTAAAATGTGGTTTTAAGCATAGTTGCTGGAACCTTGTAGGAAAGGTCACGGACCGGCTCCGGAAACTCAATTCCATGGTTCCAGCTAGGAATCTTGGATGAAATGTGGATCCCTATATTGTGATCTGCGTTCCCAGCAGGTTGGAACCATGGTTCTCAAGTGTATGACACAGTGCATATGACTTTTTCTATTTGGCACTGATTTATATGCAATATTTAATATTGTGCCCAATGGTACTGTGAACCTACACATCATTCTTGATCCCTTAAAACATGCTATTGTGATTCCTTCCCCATGGAATCGTACTTCCCTGTGAAAGGATCGTGCTTCCTTGATATAGGATTGTATGGACAAAAATCTCAACCCCAAGGAGCTTCCAACAATCCACGGTTCCGCGGACTCAAGCCCGCTTCCGCTCTTGTGAACGTATTCGCAACCAACAACTATAGTTTTAGGTTTCAAATGAACCTAAAACCCACCTTTAAAAACAATTTTTTTAAAAAAAACCCGAGAAAAAGCCCCTCAACAAAAGGCATTTCTGCCCTTGGGTGGGGCGCAGGCCCTGGCAGCCGCTCAGGGCTGGGTGCACACCTAGTCGGGCTCTCGGTCGCCTAAGGAGGCGCCCAGGGATATCTGCCTAATTTGGCCACCTAGGCTTGGGCGATGTGCTCAGGCCTTCTGGACCTCCTAGGTGGCCGCCCAAGCGCTGAGCGGTCTGCTATTTAAATCACTGGATTGGCCTACTGGTCATCATTGTCCAGGTAACCATTAAATTATTTTCACTATAATTACCTACTTACATATAATTGTTGATGGGGGTGTGAGTGGTTGTGCATATCTTGTCCCATAGGAGGATCTACTTGTTATAAGAGGAGAGGGGACTCCATATTTGCAATTTGCTGATTCGTTGGTAGTCTTGTTCTTCAGCTTTTGATCTTGAATTGGTGATGGTTTTTTATGTTGCCATTTGTTGGGATTTTTGTGCGGAAATGAAACACGAGGTCATGGGTTTTTGTGCAGAAATGAAACACTGAGTTTATGGGTTTAACATGAGAAGAGCTGGTGACAATATTAATTTATTGCCACCAAAAAAAAAAAAGAAAGGGAAATGAGAAGATGATGTTGGTTGCTAATTGGGTTGATAGGATGGTGCAGGAGTTGATTGATTTCGTGGCATAATACGTTTTCTTGGCTATGAGAGGATTACAGTGTTGATTAGTGAAACTCTAATATCTTGGTCTATTTTTGTCCTATGTTTTGAGTACATTAATTACTTTGAAATGATGGGTTTGTGTTTGCACCTAAGTTACCTCCTTTGGAGGGGAGGTGACCTAAAAAGTTGTGTTTTCTGTGATTGATTTTACTTGGTGAAGCTCGGTTGGCCTTGGGATCATTGTATTGGTTAGATCAGATTTTTTCAAAAATAAAGAGAACATAAGAATAATAGTGGAAAATATGAAATATATACACTTTAAAAAAAAGAAAAGAAGAAATATATTACCAAAAAAGTTACCTAATTTTGTTTAGTTTGTTTAACCAGAGTTCAGATTGGCAGGTTGTCTGCCCAAAAATAGTTAAAAATTGGTTTTGACTGATTTTCAATTAAATTTGATTTTGCTTCGGACCAAACTGGCCAAGGTGCTAGTCAGTTCTAACCTGCCAGCCGAGTGCAATCTTGATAACAATGCTTGGGATATATAGAGAAGTTTATTTGGTAGCTTATTTGTCATTTGATAGTTTTATGTTTTGGCTCCTATGGACAGATGCATTATATTGTATGTTCTCCATCTCTGAAATATGCCATGCAAAATGATTTTAGGTAAACTATGTGGAGAATCTCCAAATTGATTGTTAAAGAAAACAATGCAAGTGAATCACATATGATAACTGTTATTCTGTTATTCGCCATGCCAAAGAAATTTATGGTTGCTTGATAGGGAATTTACGGGTTCTTGTATGTATCTTTTACACAAGTGCCTAAACTATTACTTATCGGAAAAAGTTTATATGAGGTTGCAACCTTACCTCTACAGCTACGGATGCACCTCAAAAATCCATCAGAAAAGATAGTTTTAATGTTGAAAATCCTTTGATTGATTATCTCGACATTGAGATGTATGACCATGAAAAAAAAAAAGATTTCAAGTCTCAGAAATAGTGCATTTTACAACATATAATCCAAACCATCGATTTTCAAGATTTTCATATGTTTATAGATCTACTTGATTTTAACCTATTTTTG